TGCTTTCCAAGTAGGTATTAAACTCATTTTGTGTAACGAGTGTTTCAAAGCTAAACATTTTATTTTGCATTTTTAGCATTATTGGGTCATTTTTATGGTTTTTAATGCATATTTGTCCAATATACTATACAAATTTAGCGTATTTATTGATATAATATATTTTAGTTTCTATGTTTAGAATGAATAATATTGCCCCATAACATATGTGTATCAATATCATAGCAGAATTAAGTCAATTTTTCCAATTTTTTTGTTTTCAATAAAATAATAAACATATTTTAATAATAAATTCCAAATTTAGATAACAAATTGTAAAAAAAATAAATATAAATGGCATTTTTAAGGACATTCTTGGCTATTTTTTAAAGCATATTTATATGGTTTTAAGTGCATTTAAATACGGACCCTAATAATAATTAATAATGTTAGTAATTTTGTTTGCTAATAAGAGAATTCTGCGGAACTATAGTTATTTTAAAATTGAAAAAATGTGTTGATACTTAATTTTGAACAATAATTAGTTATATAATTATATCAAAACCATTTCATTGAGTTTTGAAAGTAATTCAAGGGAATCTATTGCCTTTAAGGTTGTAATAAGTCGTATAACAACACAATAATCRGTACTTTCCTTAAAAATTCACTCCCAAGGCCCAATAGGAAAACTTATAATGTGTTTTAGTTAATCAGCATACTAAATTTTTGTAATAACAATTTATTTTAAAAATCAATCTGTACATTATCCATGTATGTTATATTTGTAATTTAATAATATATAATTTTGTTAATTTGGTAGCATAACTTGGTAACTATTGATTCAAATTCTAAGTGACATCTAAGTACCTAACAAATGACAAATATAAAATTTTTAGAACTGCTAGTATTACTATTAATAAACACTGACATTTTGAAAGATTTATAAATGAATACATTTGTATACAATGAAAAAGACATATTGTATTTAAGTAAAATCAAGTAAAGGTTTCTACCGCCAATTGCTGAGCACTGACTAGTTAAAAAGTTGGTTACTTTTGTTGTTAACTTAAAACTTAACTAGTCATTATGTTTAGTAACTAGTTTGAGTAATTTAACTAGTTATTTTTAAAAAAGATAATCATTAAATTATTCAAATTTTTGAACAAACATTTTACTTTAATTTTTATTTAAAATGTAATTAATATCTCATGTAAGTTTATTTAATATCATAAAAATATATAATATTTTATCATTTAATCAGATTTATTGTAATTTAATACTGGATTCTATATACACAAATCATAATGGGTTTTTAGTAAGAATATATTKTTTTTCTATCTTTTTGGTAGGTATTTAGTATTTTTGACTAATAAATAAATACAACAGAAGAAATCAATATTTTAAGTATGAATCTTTGTTGATTATGACAAATGTAGAGGCCATGATAGATAGATAACTTTTTAATTACCTATTGTAAAACAAAAATATTTTGATTAATTAAAAAAAAAACATCAATATTATAGTTTGAATTAAAGTAACTAATACTATTATAATTTTTTATTTTTTTTATTGGTTTTGTCTAAAAATAAAATATTAATGTTTACTTAATCTATATAATACAGAAATCCATTTCGTGGTGAATTATTTAATCATCCTAATGGTTCAGATGTTTACCAAGGTGTACAAGTTGACTATAAAGGTGAGGTAAGTAAAGACAGTAAAACTATACAAAATTAAAAACCCTTGTACTTAGTTTCAAGACTAATTGTTTATAATATAAACATATATAAACTTTATATAGTAGTTTATGAAGAATAAAATAAACTTAATAATTATTTTTGGTTTATTTTCAAAGGAAGTAAATAGTGAACATTTCTTAAACATATTAAAAGGAAATAAGACAGCTATGATAAACATTGGCACAGGTCGTGTAATTGAAAAGTAAGACATTTTTAAGTGAGGTTTGATCAGAATTCAAGTTCTAATAAGCTATGCTTTTATATTATTTTATAGTAATCACAGAAATAATATTTTTGTGTATTTTGTTGGACACGGAACATCAGGCATATTAGCATTTCCAGGAAATTTTTTATATGCTGATGAACTAAACAATGCATTACAATTAATGTATAGTGATCGTAAATTTAATAGTGTAAGATCTTAAAGCTGTATCCATCTAGAAATATATGTGCATGTTTAAGTTTTAATTTTTATAATTTAAATTTTAGATGCTCTTATTCATAGAATCATGTAGAGCTGGTTCGTTATTTGATGGTATATTGAGTGACTCTAATAATAGTAAGCAAAAATTGCGGATCTAGCTAGTAGTTTTTACAATATAATTTTAGTGATCTTACATTATATTAGTATTTGCTGTAACTGCCTCTGGACCAAGGGAAAGTTCATGGTCAATATACTGCATTGATGAAGGTGAAATGGAAGATGTTTGCTTGGGCGATGAATTCAGCTGTACGTGGATTGAAGATCAAGCAAATGTAAATTTTATTTTATTACTTAACACAATCCAATAACATTATTATTTCATGAATTATTTTTATGAAGCTCGGTATATTGTATCCGTTACATGTGAAAGAAATTGTTGAAAAAAGAACTGTTCTCAATCATTTTGTTTACATCAGAACTAAAGTTAAACTAAGTAATGTAATGCCGTATGGAGACTTTAGTGTTGGTCAAGACAAATTGTCGGCATATATCGGAAAATCACCCGAAGTATTTTCCAAATATTCTTATCATAATAGTGGTATTTCAACATTTAATAAACACAATGTAAGTCTTTAATTTACATAAGCAATTGAAATACTATCTTTCTAAATGAATATATTATTCTTTACATTTTAACAGGGTACAAATATGTTTAGTTATCAATTTTCAAAAAATATGTTTAAACAGTATCAGACAAAGAAATTACATTATGGAAAAAATACTATGAAACAAAGCTATATTTACAATAATAGTGTATGTATATTTATAATTAATATTAAGGGAATAACCAAAAACAAACATTAGCTACTTAATTTTATGTAGATTAGAAAAATTATGGATAGAACATTAAATACAATCCTTCAAAGTGTTATAAAACAATTGCCAAGATTTATTGGACATATTGATGAGCTTAAAGAACTTCCWAGTAGTTTGCCATTAGATGTATTTCCGTGTTACAGACAAACTTTGGAGCACATCACTACAAACTGTTTTTCTTTGCCTAAGGTAAAATTATAAATAATGGATTATTTTAAATTCAATTGTCTAAGTCTAGCTATGAAGGTTTTTTTATTTTTATTTTTATTAGACATAAACAATTTGTACAATATTAGCACAATAAGATTATTTGATAAGACTATAAGAATATAGAAAAAAAAAAAAAAACAAAAAAAAAATAGCATGAAAGGTGTAATTAAGAAGCCACCAATTAGTGACTCTTGGCCGAGCTATGAAGGTTTAAATAATTATATTTTTTAAGGAGTTGGTTGAAAAAATAATGTCATAATAATGGACATGTTTTGAATCAGTTATTTTATATTGTTTATTTATATTAATAATTGTTTTGCTTAGTAATATTTGTATTGTTTGAAATACATAGAATATATACTCACTCAATGAAATGCACCAATTTTTCAACCTATGCACAAGAATTAAAGACAGTGGATGGAAATCTGAAGAATTTTATAGCGTGTTTGAACAAGTTGTAYACAATGTCTGTTCAAAAAATTCATCAACATTTTCAAATTTAAATAAAATTACTGATATTCATTGAAATATTTTTTTTGTAAGAACTTAATATTAATTAATTAATTAATCACAGTACATTAAGATTTAACATAGTATAATCAGTGGTGGACTTGGGAATAAAGTAGTTGTGGTACTTTAGCTACTTTAAAAAAAGTTGTGTCCCTAGAATTTTAATCAAACTCACATAACTATGAGAAGAGCAGGTCACCCCACACCACTCTTTAGGGACCCTTAAGAAGCATTTAAAAAATGAAGAAACACATATCAATGAATCATAACATATAAAATAATATTATAATTTATTATATATAACTTAAGGTCCTTTTTACTAAAAATATACAAAACAATGAAAAACTGTTTTATTTAGTATATAATATAATTATTATTATTATTTCTATAGAATTAAATGTTTTTATAAAAGATTYGGCAGTTCAGAATAATTATTATCACTGTTTTTTACTTGTATTTTTGGACAGCGTACCTCATTTGCGTCTCTTCTTTCATTGAGGATTCATGACTTTAATTTGCTGGATTAAAAGCTATTACTGGAGGACCAACTCATTGTATGAAAAGGAGTATCAATATGTGTTATATAGTTAATTAGCCATCCCATTCCATGTGTTCCCTATTAAAAAAAAAGTAGGGGTACACTTGAGTATCTTAAAAATTAATTGAGGTAGTCAGTCCCCCCTAAGGCATTTCCCTCTTAAGCTAACCACTGAGTATAATTAGAAGATTTTTTAATTTGAATTTTTACAGGTACAATTTGAATTRTGCATTACTTCTTAATGTGAATACTATGTTGTGTTTCATAAAAGCATTACAACTTTAACAATATTCAACTTAGATATTTTTATAGTTTTTGAGTCATATGTATTTTAGTACTAATTGAACTGATAAATAAGTAAAACACCAAGAACAATAAGCAATAACTTTATTTTTATTATTGTCTTGATTAAATTTAGTGGTAATTCAAACCAATTAAGCTAAGCTTGAATTGTTCAATAGTTTACTTTTTATTGATTCACAGAAGACTAACTGTGAATTTATTAATATTAAACAATATTGTAACTACATTTTATATCAATCTCTTAATAGTATATTCATTTATTTATAACTGTGTATTGTTGGTGATAATTTTATAGAGTTAATTTAAGTAAAATTTTTGTAACTCGTTAAGTTCTTGGAAAATCAATTAATTTTTTAATAAAAAGATTGAAAAGGTTTAGCATATACTGTCTCCAATTTATGTAAGTATTTTACTAATAATTATGATAATTTATAATAGATAAGTATGCCAAATAAAAAGATAATTTTAAAGATCAAAACAGAAATGTGGTGTAACTTTAGAATGGTTATCAAAATGAAAAGCAAATATTTTTTAGCTTTTTTTTTTTTTGAGTCAATGATATTTGTATTTTACTAATTTTTTCGTGTCATAATCCTCGATTATTAGTAAGTTTAATGTTTAATCCCATTGAAGTCTATGCAACGAGCTGCATGCTAACACCTATCATGCAAACACCTATAAACCATAATTAGTATTCAGAACGTTGATTCATCTAATCATCAGTATGATAATTATGAATAATGTCATCAGGCATACATGGGTAAATAATAAAAGTCGATAAGAAAAGAAAATTTACAAATATAAAAATATAAAAATATAAAATTGTTGTCTCTTACTTAATTGTTAATTAATTAATAATAATCATGATAAATTATAGTTGAGGATGTTCACACTTATACTGTTGACTGTTGAGCATCGTCATTGTAACTTGTGAATTGTAATCACCAGATAGTAAATAAGTGCATTAGCCGTATACATGAACTAAGATATACTTTGTTTTATATACCTGTATAGGTATCTTATTTTATGCCTGTGACTAAGTATTCTGTATTAAGTACAAATCTAATTTATAACAAACATAGTATAATATACTTACACAGAACGACAGAACTTATATATACTCGATGGTATTACGGCAACAGTATACTCATCACCACAGACTTGTACACTAGGTTGCATATAAGATATTAATTATTCTTAGTATAAAGTCTATGTATACTCATACCTCTTCATTATAATATATATACAGTAGAGAAAATTAGAAAATACTACAATAGGGAATACAATACTGAATAGTGAATCAAAATTAGCACTTAGACTAGACCACTAGACACACGTTTTAATTGTTCAATATTCATCCGGCATTCATGGATGGCCCGGCCAGGCCAGACGGGCCTATCAATCATAGTATTCGAAATGAATAGGTATAGCTATACTGTTAACGACCGTACGTGTGGCTACACCGTAAAACGCTTATCATAGATAATTGGACATGATAATATTATGTAGGTATTTCATTTTATTTCGCTTACGTCAGTACGTCACACAAATCCATATTAGTATACTACAGTAGTTATACACAATACACTAATACAACATACACATTACACACACACAACAATGGTCCATTCATATCTCAATGAATTCGGAACCCCATGGCCCATTCGATTGCAGACATTAAAATATGATATTATTAATTATCATTATTATTATTATCTCTTAGCAAATTCGATCGCCCGAGATCGAGGTCGGCGTCGGGTGTTGGGTAACGAAAAAGAGAAATCTGTCTTGGTGATCTCTAAAAATCCGGTATCTCGGGGCATTAGACATAATATTCTGTCTTGCTACCAAAGCAGCCGTAATTTCAAGTTGCGCCATCGGCCGCGGTTTTTCGTTTGATGTGAGCCGATAATTTTTTATTCTTCCATGGTCGGAGCTACACGCCAACCAGGGGAATCAACGAACTCCACAGCGATTACGGCTGGCATGCCGTCCGACCACCACCATCAAATCATGACCATCTCGGTTCATAACAACGATTAATCGTAACGATGTGATAAACACAATACACATAATATATATATTTAATATTTATATCATACTCACACACACACACACACACACACTTAACTATATGATTTCGTAACGTTGTATAGGTATACGTGGATTATATATATATATATATAGATATATATACAGTATATGTTTATGTATACATATGTATACAATATACACATATTATAAACAATATAAAATATGTGCGTGAGTGTGCGCGCGCGCGCGCGTTTGTGTTCATAATTCCATAATCGATTGTAAGCTCGAATAATTTGTCTTAGGTATTATTATTGTTGTTGTTGTTATTGTTGTCGTCGTCGTTGATGTTGAAGATCTAAGACAACGCCGCAGTCGTGTCCGTGCCGGCGGACGCGCGACCGTCCGCCCGCCGAAGTACGGCCGACTTAAGTGGCCAAAGCCCGAACGCGTTGATCGTCGACGGGCCAAACGAGACGAGTGTGGCGGGTCGAACACCGTTGGCGTGTGCGTGTGTTTGCATGTGAGTGTTTGTGCCCAGACCGTCGGGTACTGGGATTAACCCACTATCCCGGTCCTAATCGCCGACACGTTCGTACTTATCTACGAGCTTAATGACTGATTGACGAATAATAATCTTTCAGAGCATGACATATATCAACAACGCAATCATGTTGATCGAAGAAGAAGTCGCCGGCARCATGTCGAACAAACACGACAGCAAGGTTCAAGATAAAAATATTTGGAAATCTTTGCGGACRCACATTCTGTCTCGTCGCGAGAAGAACAAACAAGGTACGTTTTTCGYGTTCTTCGTTGTTAGATACACATAAACATGTTATGTAATGCACTTGTGATGGGTAGAACACAACTTATTCGTTAGGTGTTTTGCTATTGTGCGCAGCAATCATGGTTGCTCAGTTTGCAGATGAAAGAAAACAAATGAGAAATCAAAATTTATCTTGAATTAATGATACAACTAGAGTATTCAAAGTGATTCTAATGATTTAATTTAATTTGTTGTCAAAAGTCTTTCTAGACATGGCTTGAAATCAGTTGACTGAATAACTGATGTTTCTTATTGATAATGCTATTAAATTTAATGATCAAAAGAATAGACATTTTTCAATTACATTTTATTCATTAAATGTCAATAAATTAGATACTGGACGAGTATTTCAGTAATCCTCCATGGCTTTGTCCTTGTATTTATTTCTTAAACTGCTAGTTTTTGCTCCAGATGGGTGTTAAATCATTTATAGGCAGGTTAGGTTTAACATTTATTATTTTATCTTTTTTATCAATACTCATTATTAAATCCAAATCTTTGACTGAACTGTATTTTAAATGAATTAATTCCTTTTAATGAATTAAGTTTTAATTTTATAATGAATATTAAAATCTGTAAAAATCCTCTACAATAGGTATTTGAGTAGCTATAAAAAATTGTTGTCAAACTGGTTCTTAAGTTGCAATATATTCATATATAAGAATGATTAACCATAATATACAAATTGGTGAAAACTCCATAGATGTGTTTATAATGTAATTAAAAGGAGTTCATGGTGATCAATAACAAAACAAATTGTTATAATCATATGTTGTATGTATGTCTATTATTGTGATACATATTGCTTGTGACCTAATCAATTTAAATAAAGTGAACTTATGAATAATAAGTGTTTTGAATTTTTTGTTTAAAAATATGCATAGGTATAAATAGGAGGGGGGCTTAAGGTGTATTAGCACCCCAATTTTAAAATTAACACCCTCAAATAATGATCATACTTATGTATCAAAAACTTCTTTTTTCAAAAAAAAAAAAACAACTAAAATGACGAAATGCATAAGCACCCTTAGTATTATTTATTGAAATTGTGCCTATGAAAATATGATAACTAACTGTGTTTGCAAGTTTCTTCTGTTGTTTRCCTACAATTTTGTGTTGAACAATAGTAATAATATTCAATTGCATTACATTAATTTATAGTTTCATTAGGTACCTTAATTTTTATTAAATTTTCAATTCATCTTCCATTTTTTGATTTTTAATTTTAGTTATGTTATAAAAATGTATTGAATTAACTTTTTTAACAACAAATACAGACAAATACATCAAATTAAGTATTGGTGATTAAGTTTGCATTCATTAATATGCTTGTTATAATTTTAGGCGATCGAAAATAAAATGATAGGACTCATCTTGTCATTTTGTATTAGGTTTTTTTTATTTTGTATACCTAAATAGTAAATTAATATAATATTAAACAGATTATTCTTTAGATATTATATATTATGTATAAGGTGTGATGTGTTTATTCACATAAATCACAAGTTAGCTTAAATTATTTAATAATAGTTCTGTACTAGATTTCCTAATCTTAATCAAGTATGCCTACCTAACTATTAAAATATTTTTTTAATAAATAATTTTAACAGACTTCTTTCCCATCCCAACTCCTTGATTCCTGATTAAGCTATTCACACAATCCCTGGAAATCCCCCTCAATCTCCGAAAAKAAATTTATATAGAGACCTTCTTAATTTATCATAATAACCAATAACAACAACAGAAAGAGAGAAAAATATATAAATATTTATGTTAGAACAACAAGTATCAAGTAGTGCTATCACTGAATGGGACGGCTTCCTTCCTCAATTTTTTTCAGATTTTTTCATAGCATATATTTGAATAGGGTACAAATTGTATTGTATATTTCTAATAAAAATAGAAAAGTGTTAAGAAATTTGATTTTCTAAGAGAATATAGATAATGTTTTAAACATTGATAGGTATAGGTACTAAATACTCTTCTAAATATTAGTCTCTATAGTTATTGCATATAGGCATTAAATAATAAATATTTTCATAACTTTTTAATTTTATTTAGGATTTTAAATTTTCATACCACCGTATAAATATATTATACTTTTATAATATAGGAAGACTATTTTGGTTTTTATATATTTAACTAGTACATATTTACAAAATATGTATTGATTTAATAATATCTAATAACTATAAATTAAAATAAAATAAAAGCAATAATAAATTATTTTGTAGAATTTACTCTAGTTAGGTATAATATTATGTTTTACTGATTTAATCACTAAATATGACTAAAATAAACCTCTAATAAATTGATGATTAGTTGTCAAGTCTACCTCGTTCTTAAGTGTGTTAAATTTGAACCAGTGGCATCATTTGGGTAATAGCAAGGTGGACTATTAACCCCTGTCTGTTATTAAAATCAGCCCAATGGGTCAGTATTTGATTGTTTCCATTAATGAGAAT